ATAGCATTCGAGGCATATAGAGGTACAAACCCATCGGGCATTCAACCCATAGGTCATGCGTCACTTTTGACTAATCAAAAAACAGGACCACCATTATAACAAAATAAAATCATCCACAAATTCATTTTCAACCTTGATCTTTTCCACGTTACAAAGCCATCCGTTTAAAGTAATTATGGTCACATTTTGTGGTTAAATTTGAGATGCAAATGGGACCTATTTTTTTCTTTACACCCAGGAAGCATTTCTCCAAGAAATCTGTGGTTTTATTTCATTCTTAAAACTTGTTTGCATCGCGATGATAGAATGAGATGACTTATAGCAACCCCTCTGAACCAGTCCTTGAATATCAAGCTTGGCGGAAAGACGATTGGGGGAGTCTTTAGAAAGGTGAGAAAGGATCGTCTGAGAACGACTGGATTAACACGTCTATGAATAGCCCTTCTGTTAACACGAATGCTGTAAAAATATGTGCTTAGGACAGAAATAATTATGTTGGGTTTTTATTGTGACTTGATTTGACGCTGAGGGTAATAAAACATATAAGCGTTTCCGTCTAGTATCTTGTTTGGGCGAGAAAGTGTTTTTTTTTTTAAATAGATATTCGTTGGGAGGTGATGGGCAAAATATGTGATGGTCCAGTTTACAGGTGTTTATAGAATGAATTTAGAATGAATCAAAGCTTAACCTAGCAATTATGTTAAACGCATACGAATACTTTTTCTTTATAATCACTGACTAATTTCAAAGATACCATAAACTGTGCTCATGATGCTCCATCCTCTTTAGCAAGGATCACCATCACTATTTTTTTCTTCTTCAAAATTGGCAGTAAACAACTTTACAGTTATCATTTCCATATTCGTCTAGCCATCAATTGTGCTTGGATTTTTTTTTCTTTCTTTGCATTTAGATATTTCAAGTATTTATCTTTGATCAATGTCACCCCATTCAAAATTATGTGAATTCGATTTTAAGTAAGGATATTATGATCATATAACAAGTAGAAAATTGATTACAATTATTTTCTTTCTCTGTTGAAAAGGTGTATGCATGAATAGCAGATTTATTTGACAACGTATTACAAGGACATTATTAAAATTATCAATTAGATAGCTTTACATCAAAATTGAAATCTCCTTATTGGACTAAGGTGAAAGTGCTCTGCAAGGTTTATTAACTTTAAAGATGAAAGAAAATAAATAATAGCATAGCTTAGGTTCGATCACGGAGGAAGTGAGGCACAAGTTTGACTTGGGGGTAAATTACGATTTGACCAGAGGTTGGTGTGAGGTGTGTGTGAGTGCGTGTGTGTGTGTGTATGTGGGTGTGCGTGTGTGCGTGTGTGTGCGCTCACCTCAGCATTTTTGTGGGGTTTTATGTGCGCTTCACATACCCCTTGTGAGGCATTTTTACTTTGTGGGGTATTTTTTCAGGACCCCACAGAGTAAAGTCTTTCAAATGACTGTATATTCGGTGTCCTATGCCCTGCGGGGCATTAGAAGTGGTACCCCATAAATGACATTTTGTGAGCGTGTGCTAAAACTTGCACACTTTTTTTATGGTAACATCGTAAGCACACCGCCGGGTTGTTATCGCCAGGTTGTACATACCCCACTAGTAGGGGACCACAAGGTATATCTGGAACGCACAGAAATACCCCACAATCAGGTGCCCCACAAAGGCCCTGATGTGAGAATGGGTGTGTGTGCGTGTGCGATCGTGTGTATGTGAGTGCGTGTGTGTGTGTGGGGGTGTGTGCGTGTGTGTGTTATGTATATATTTGTTTCATCTCCCTGTCTACCTCTCTTTTGCATTCGAGGGGATGGGGAGGGGACACGCGCCCCCTGCTACCCGAAGCTACGTCATTCTTATGAACGATCAGGTATATATATATATATAGCAAGGTTATCTAAGTGAGGAAAAATCAATCAAATTTAATCTTTATGTTCACAAGAAAATGCACCCGATAGGGATCAATAGTTTGCTTTAAGATTTGTACAAACTATTTTTAGTATAGCAATTGTATCATTATAGACATCAGAGCGGAAAAGTGCTAAAACGTGCTTAATACAGATAAAAACGTTTTAAATGACAGAGTTGACAAGGATATAATTATTTAAAGGTATTAAGTGCTGGGGATATTAGATGAAAATTACTCCCTCGTTTATGCTCTTGAAGAGAAACTTTTGGTCGAGATAATTGACTTGCTTTACATGGTAGACTTAAACACGAGGACACCATTGAATCTGGATATACATTAATTTTGTATTGAATTCTACTTATACCTGGCGAAACTTAATCATGTTAAAGGAAGATGAAAGCAGTCCAGAATGAAAACTCAAGAACATTTCAAGTATTGTTTTTTTTAAAGTGGAATACATTTAATGTCATTAGTCCCAAAATAGGAATGCAAACTTTTGTTCTTCTTTTTTTCAGTGGATAAAAAACATAGATGTACAAGAAAATGTGCCGAATAATGATCATTTTAATCACTTCCAATACATTCCTATTAATGCGCCTCGGAATAGAATTTTAGATAGAAGGCGCTATAGAAATGCCTATAATTATCATTAATTAGTATTATTATTAATCTTCAAACATTTGAGACACAAAATACGTTCTTGTAAATGCAGTTGATTATATATTGTATAAGAGTGGTTTGGTCTTTCAGTATGAGTCAAAACTGTGATCATCTTCAACTGTCCAGTGTGCCTCCGGATGTTCAATGTATGATGGACGTCGATATACGCTATGTCATAACTTTTCGTCCAATAGTCAATCAGGGCCGAAGCATTATCTTGGACGAGCTGATACGGGGCTTCTGATTGGCTATTCCCTGACTGTCGCGATTTATGCTGTTTCATAATGGCATAGCAATTAAGGAGATACAATATAAGTTATAACACGACTGTAGGTTGTATTTGTTCGATTACTTCTGTATAAATGACAAGATAATCATGATAGTTTTGCCTTGTACAAACTACTTATTAACAATCATTAATCTTCCATTGAATTGGAATATTTATCATTTCAGATAGGGTCTTATCTCGAGAAATTATATATCTACATGAGTAAATAACTTTTATATTTGAATTGACTTTGGTTTTTTGTTACCTGAATCAGACTAATATGAATAATGACGATCATATTATGAGTGCATCATTATATTTCATGGATTTCTATGCACTGAATGGATTTAGTGTCAACAAAAAGACATCTAAAGTTTGGAGTAAAGGTAAATTGTCACTGCTAGATATATGTGCTAGAAGAAGAATTATTTATTTGGAATTTTCTCTAGAGCATACTTATGTACTGCTGCGGAGATGGTGCTTTCGAAAGATCACGAGATGTATTATTGTAAATGCTTTGTATAATGTACTTTTATTTTAATTTATGCTAATTTGTATGTAGAGCGCAATGAGCATCAGTTCTTGGCGGATACCGGCGCTATATAAGAGTAGTATTAACCAGTCTCATTTTAATATTATACACAAATCTTATTTATAAGATTTGGAAACCCATCATGTAATTTTCAATTAACTTTATTTTAGGCTTTAGATAACGAGAGTCAGACTCCGACTAGCACATGTGCTATTTTTACTCTATTTTACCATCGATCACAAACTCATTGTAAATAGTAATTTATTGTTTTACTCTTGTAGCAAAGTTTACTTTATATTTGTCATAATGTACATGTATATCGCTGTAGAACATGTATTTTTTATAATTCATGTCATGCATTTATGTTATATTGACATTGTCATTGTACATTTATCTTTTGTTTCAATGTTTTCAATGGTGGTGAATAAATAAATTCAATTTAAATTCAATTCAATTAACTGTCAGCTGTTGTTTTACTGTTATGAGTATTTAGTTAATCATACCTCATTCTCTTTCATTTATAAACAATCTGCCTCTTCTCCAATCGAAAGGTCAGTATTGTACTTGCATTAACGCAAGATAGCTATACATGAACGAATATTATGGTCGTGGTGCAACCCCTGCCTACAAAACAATTTTGATCAAAAGATAACTAATTTCCAATGGTAGGTCTATTGATGATTTGCTCGTTTTCAGTTCATGATGTTTATACAAATCCTGGACTAAAACTGATAAATCAGCGAATTTTCGTTATGAAAATGAGCTCCAAACACGGAGGATAATTAACCCGAATCATACACTAGCTTCTGACTTGTTTTTGTTCGCCGCAGTATGCTCGCTGCCGCCCGCCAGCGCAGCCGCCTGGCATCCATACTGAGGGGAGAGCGAAGCAGTCTCGATCAGCCAGTGCTGATACACGCCAGCCCGCTAAAATGCTGACGACGAAAGCTCATTTTACGCACAGGTAATATTGCCAGGTAAAAATCTCTCTTCGTGGCGTTCTTCATGACCCCGATCCGACCAATCGCCTGCCCGGTCTTGCGGTCTGCTAGGGAATGCGCTCAAGCAAGACCATCCAACTAAAAGTGGGAGGAGCTTTCGTAAGATTTTCGTGAGAGAGAAACAGAGAGGGAGAGAGGGGAAGAAAACACTTCTTTTCAAACAACAGACTCAGTCATTCTTCCTTTGTAAAGGTGTGTTCGAATTTTTTTTCCTTCCAATATTTTGAACTTTCATCCGATTTGCGGGGAGCGTGATGAAGTAGTATAGTGGGTAGCTGCAGTGGTTTTTGATAGAGAGCGGAACTCAGAGTGCTTAGGCGCCCATAACGTTAGGGGACGCATCAAGTGTGTGGTTGCCATATACATCCCACCAGTACACCAGTCGAGAAGTTATCTGTGAACATCCTCTCAAGCTGATTCATAAGGAGCTTGGCTACCTTGTGTTGGTCATCTTTTAAATACTTCTCTTCATTGTCTTCCCGTCAGCAAACAAATTCAACATTCTCAACTCTACGGCTACTCATCGTTACCTTGCCCGTATCTTCAGCGACAGATATCTATCACCACTCCGCTCATCATACATACAGTCGCCGTTCGATACCCGTCGCATTCTTGATTCATTACGATATAAATTGGACTTTACACATCAGATCATCGCCTACGATCTCTCTCTCTTTGAGCGTAATCTAGTTCTCAAACTTGATGAGAGGGGATTTTGAAATTCATACTTTAGCCGGAGGTGCGGCGACATCATCGATCAAGGGAAAGATGAGCACCGTGAGCAAAACGACTACCACATCAAGTATGTATTACTCGTTATTTCCTAATTCTCTTCACGTTCATGTTGTCGTAATAAGTGATGAAAATGTATTTGTTGATAACACTTTTAGTTCTTACACATTGTATTCTTTTAACCCTGAAAATTTAAGTTTTTCAACTCAGCTTAAGGCTAAATCCTTACTGACAAGGTCTTTTGCTATATTACTCATTCTTTTAAACAACAGGTTAGAAAAGGATAAATTAACAAAGATTGTTAGAGCTGATAGCATGACAATATAATAGTAAGAGGCACTCTTACACATTGGAATTAATGATCGTGTTTGTGAATATACGACATGAATTAAACTGCAAGATTAAATTAATATCACAATTTAAATCAACTTCCACTTCTGATCATTTTCATACTCCTATAATATAATTTTGCTGTTTATCAACCAAATATTTCAGTCATTCATTATACATTCAGTAGTTCTTTAAAAAAGTAAAACGGCGTTTTCTCTTCGGGGGTTCAACACCGAAATTGTTTATATTATACTATAGCAGCATTTCCTTTTTTTCTTCAGAAATTTTATTTTGCTCTAATTCTTTCCGCTTAGAGCTGATATCAGGACAGTAATAGCAACAGTACTGCCTCTCCCAACTCATATTTCACAGACTTGAATTGATAACAAAATTATGCGCTTTGAGAAAATTGGTGATGGGCGTCGGAATTATTATAAGCAGACTGGTCGATATAAGTTCCAAACCTGCATGAGAGAAGGAAACATGTATAAATTATTTCAAATAAGATCATTTGTCTTGATTTCTTTAAGTTTCATATTTATTTCTAATGAAATTTATATTATATAATTATTTGTCATCAGTTTAATTTAAATTCACAATTTTTTTTTTATTATAGCACAAACATGGTTCATTCAAATACAATTGTACATGAAAGACAGCCATGGCTGGAATATTCATACTCACATGTTAGGCATAAAAGATATACATGTCAAAAACTAGCAATATACATTGGACTTAGATTATGTAACTAAAGACCCAGCTACACCCAGCTACATGTTTCTCTTCATATTCGCCACGTTGATATTGTTTTGATTTATAACTGAGGTTGAGTGTTTGAAGGTTTTCAATAATGCAATCAAACTGCTCCGTTTTTGTAAATATTGCAAATGAAGTATTGATTGCTGTGGGAAAAAACCCCTCTACTTTTTGTTATACATGTATCTCTCAAGAAACAAAAGTTTGTAGAGAGAGAAAGAGAGAGAGAGAGAGAGAGAGAACGAGAAAAAACGAGAAACAAAAAGACAATTGCATATCATACTACTATCTTTGTAGCCTCTCATTGTGATTAGTATGAAGAAAATATCTGGCTGCATCCAAGGTACAAGATTTTCTATTGAAACTGTGTTCCTCTAAAATTTCACAAAATAGCGTTTTTGTCTGCACGATTTGACATTGATTTTTAGACTGTAGGAAAAGTAATTTCATTACAAGGGATAAAATGTATCTGTAATCTCAATCCCCGAGCGCTAGTTTCTATATAGAACTAACATTTAATGTTGAATCTTGTTATCTAGTGTTCATTATAAATATGTAGGAAAACAAATTTTTGAAAGGCAAAATTTGGAGGATTTCTTTACGAAATATGTCTCTTCATTTTATAAACCCCTTTTATCATTTTTATCAATCGAATATGTCCAAAAAATATTAGTTTTGTAGATGAATAACCATTCAATGCGGAGTTCACAATATTTTAGCACCGTGCACATTTCTTGATTTTGATTACCCAGGTATTCCTGAAGGGGGGAATAAGAATGTATACCTTGAGAATTGTAGGTGATAACATAAAAAGTTAGATATAAAAGAAGAACAAATTGTTGTATTGCATTGACAATATACATCTGGAAAGTGACATTCTTATCCTATTTCCAGTCACTGTTTTGTAAGCCTGAAGTAATTCAGCATATCAAATTTCTTTTATTTCGTATACAATTTTCGTGCTCGTTGATTCTTGTTTTCTCTTTCCGTCTAATCAATATGATTTTAAAATTCCAACTGTTAGAACTCATACTGGTATCCTTCATTTAGAAAAAAAAGGGTTACACATGACTGTATATGTAAAGTGTGTGGGTTTCTTTTTACCATGACGATGTGGCGTGAGAATATCTCTATTTCGCAGTTGTCTATCAAATCTACCACCTACACTAATTTTTCACTTATTGTGTTCTTATTTCTTCTGTTGTAGATGTCCCATTAACAAAGTCCAAATCAATGCAGCAAATTGTGTCAAAAAATATCATATGAATATTGTTTTACAATTAATAGTGTTCTTTGTTCTATATCATCTCGCTTTGTTGAGTGTAAGCCATATACATATTTTATAGTAATTTCGCTTAGACCATAATCATACTTCTTGAGCGCTCAACATATACATGCACATTTCAATTAGGCCCTGAGTTCACTGGGAATGCCAACTCAAAAGGGCTTGCCAACAGTATTATGTTTCCTTTAATTTGTCAAGCACCAGTCCTACTTAAAAAGATTTTAACAAACTACAAGTCATCGCAAATCTAGATGTTGTCATCATTATAGCTAATTACATTTATTGACATTCAATCTAAAAATGTTTTCCGAAATGGAGGAAAGACGACGACGATGATGATAATTAGGCATATCTAAAGTAATGCTTTTTCAATGTGTGTTTTCTTATAGTATTTCAAATGGCACATTATGTAGTTTTATTGTAAAATTATTGTAAACTATTTTGATATGTTTTTGTATGGAATCCAACTTGTGGTTTCAATAAATAAATGAATAAATAGATAAGATCATCTGATGATAAAATAACGGAGAGTATAATCACAATGATTGTATCAGTTAAATGCTCTGATATTTCGTATTTAGTGACATTGGACTCTATATAAACCAATAATTTACGTATTTAAAAAAGAAATATTTGTTTATAGTCCTTATTATAGAGTTAAAACAAAAGTGAGACAAACCTCAATAAATGGAATCAGAAACCAGGAGAAGTGAAGTGGGAGTGATGTTGAAGTACGGCATTTTTAGAAAGAACAGCCATGCATAGGTGAAACTAAAGAATACAAGAAGAATTAGTAAGAAACTACAAAATACTTGAGACACGCATCTAATCTTGAAATTAATTTCGCAATGTCATCTTAGGAAAGTTTATAAATTAAGTGATATGTATGAAAATGATAGGTCTTATAGCAAAAGTAAATAGCTACAAACTCATAATCGACCTCGATGATAATTATCTCACTTTAAACAATGCAAGATGTGGGCCTATGTTTAAATGGTGTATGCACCAGTGAAGTGGATATAGCTTTTACTTTCAAGGAAAGTATTGCCTCCCGATTGAATTGTTTCTTAAAGACAAGGTTTTCAAAGAAGTCATTGTATTACCCTTCCTGAAACTAAATATCCTATATATTAAGTAAAACTTTGAAGATTCAATGACATCTCAAGATTTCTCGCGTTACTAGAATTATTACTTGCTGCGTTTTGTGAGTAAGTTTACATGGTACTTGTTGATACTTGTTGATTTGATATTCAAATCTGAAAGTGAAATTGGTATTTTTGTTAAGATGAATGCAGAGCAAGACAGTTACTGTATACCATTTTGTCATCACGTGATGTATCTTGTGATCTATCATCTTGTTTCATATGTTACATCACATCTTTCTGATATTGCTTCCTGTATTACATTTCTCTTTCCCCTTTTCTGAGTCTCTGTTCATAAATGTGGTCCCTATTTTTTTCTTTTCTTTTTTTCTTTTAACTTCCGGTCCCCTCTTCCCAAGCTAATAATCATTTGATTTAATCAAGTTGTTGATCCGAATATTTTTCGTCAATACATTTCACGGATCGATATACAATCTTAAACTCCCCATGACTTTTATCCTATTATTTTTTATTTCAACGTCTCCCGACCCTCGTTTTCTTCATGTAAGACATTTACAAGGCCCTGCAGCTCGAGTCGGTGGAAACCATGATGTACAGGGCGTTACGGCACGGCGCCACGCGTTGCATCCATAACAAAATCATACTTTTACTTGCTTTGGCAGGTCGTTACACGCTTCGCAGCAAGCGGCTTTTCCCCCTCTAAAGTTTCCGCAAGCTAAAAAGCCAAGATATTTCCTTTATACTGCTTCATTTAATCTCGTTAGACTTGCACTCCATTTAGCTAAACCGCTACTGTTGTCTTATAATCCGGGTCGTCTTAATGAAGAAAGTTCCGTCGGTTTTCTAAGCCTCTAATTACGTCTCTTTTCAGGAAGGGGTTCATATTGTGTTTAAAGACTGGCTTCTCTTCTTTCTTTGCCGAAGTCTTTTCAGAGTCCATTAACTTCTAAAAGCCCGCTCCTCCTTAAAACTTTATAAAAGGATACACGCAACAGAAAGGCTTCTGGAATTTGCCGAAGACTGATTGTAATGCCTTGTCTTTTGACCCCCATCATCTTGTAATTATACCAGAGAGTCGAATTAGATTCGAATACATCCCTTCGGAACTGGAATCATTGTCATGGCTGGTTCCCCTGGTCAATCGTTAAGTCATTAGGCTTAAAGGTATTCATTTAACGAGGTGAAAATAGGTTCTCTTTGAAACAGGCCTGCTTGTTACCTCCCCATCATTATCCAGTTGCGTGCTTACAGATCGATGAAACTCGTTTGGAATCTATGCAAGCTGGGCGGTGGTGGAGTGTGTGTGGGGGGATAGGGGTGGGGGTTGGGCCCAAGTTGGGTCCAAGTTGAGGGTTAGTTGCAAATGGATGGATGGTTTTAACATTCTAAATGCACTTTTCATCTTTAATTAACTCATCCCATTTCATAATCAACATAGATAGTGTTACAATATGTCACATACCATATAAATCAAAACGTTTTATAAATAATATTCTACATTTCCGGATATCACCCCCCCCCCCAGAACGACACACTAACTGCACCCCTCCACCCGTTACTGGTCTCATGGGGTCATCCATTACCCCCATGATTAGC